GGCGCTGCTTCCCCGCCGCACCCCCGGGCAGCGCCCGGCCCGGCCCGGCCCGGCGCGGCCCTGCCCGCCCCCCCCCTCCCCGCCCACCCCGTCGGGCCGTGCCCGCCCGCCGCTCCCCCTCCGGGCACTGTCTCTTTAAAGCGGGGCAGCCCCGGCCGCCTTTCCCCCCCGTCCTGCGCGGCCCCCCCGGCCCGGGCGGCGGCGGCGCTCCCGGCGCGCTTAAAGCGACAGCGGCCCCGCGGCCGGGGGTCACCGCCAGGTCGCGGTGGAGCGGCCCCTCCGCGGGGGCGGCCCCCGCAAAACCCCCCCGGCCGCATCCCCCGCCCGGGGCCGGCGGTCCGCGGTGCCCCGGGGCCCTCGCCCCGCTCGCCTCTTATTTATTCGCCGCTCGCCCCCGCAGCCCCGAGCGGGAGTCGCGCCGCGCCTCGCCCCGACGGCTTCTCCCGTCTCTCTCTCTCCGGGAGCCGGCGCGTTAACCCGAGTTCTTCCCGTCATCGCGTCACTCTGGTTATTAATAACAATTTTTAATGAAATGCAACCTTTTTTTCTTTTTTTTTCTAACAGGCCAATTTGCCCGACGACCCCCCTTCCCCCACCCCGTTTGCTGCCGCGGAACCACCTCCACGTTTGCCGGCGCTTTCTAAAACGATTCTTGTGGGGTTTTTTTTTCCCCTTTATTTCTTTGGTAACGAATCCCATGAATGAAGCGACGGGAGGCCGGGCTCTACCTGCCGGCGGGGGTGGCGGGCCGGGCCCGCTCCCGCTCCCACCCGCGGGGCAGCGCAGCCCCCTCCCACCCCGGTGCGGGGCTCTCCGGGCTCCGCAAATGGACCCGAAATCGTGCAAAAACGCAGACATCCCCAAAAGTTTGGGACAGCTCTCATTACGGCGAGATCCACGTACATCTGTGTTTTTTGGGAACAGGGCAAGGAAAAAGAAAACCACGAGTGCTGAGTTGTATCTCTTATTGCACCATCCAGAAGTGCCACCCACTTTTTTTTTTTTTTTTTTTTTTTTTTTTTTTTTTTTTTTTTTTTTTTTTTTTTTTTTTTTTTTTTTTTTTTTTTTTTTTTTTTTTTTTTTAACGTGCATATATATTTTTCAGACTGAAAGTGGATTTTTCTTCCCCGGGGGGCCGAAAGGGGCTGGGGAAGGAGCACGGGGGGAGGGCGAGAAGCCGGGTGACAGGAGATGCTGATGGATTTGTCTCAGCGGCCCGTTATCTGTGACATTGACCTGTTAGCTCAGATAATAGCTATTGTCCGAGGGGAGAGAGATGAGGGAAAAAAAAAAAAAAAAGAAAAGAAAAAAAAAAAAAAAACAAACCTCAGTGGTAGTAGGTAGGACAGGAAAAAAAAAATTAACGAAAAAAAAATCCTTTGTCAATAACCTCAAAAAACCCGGTGGGAGATTCCCAGAGCGCTCGGGCCTGGGAACCGGCGCCCGCCCGGTGTGCGGGGCCGCGGGTTCCTGCCCTCCCTCCTCTCCCCATTGTTGGGGATTTTTTTTTTTCCTTCTTATTTTTTTCTCCCTCTCTCTCTCTTTTACTTTTTTTTTTTTTTTTTTTTTTAATTTAGCCATAAATTGGCCCGGCTCGCGCTATGAGCTGTTCTATTTTCTCCCTGTCAGGATGAGGGATTTGCTTTATGATGCATTGTGTATTAAATACAAGTAATCTGGGAAACTGATTGCTCGAGCCCATCGGCCTGATCAGAGCCCCCGATAGGAGCCGGAGACCCCCCCTCTTACTCTCCCCGCTCCCCTCCGCTGTGCCACAAAGGGAGGAAACGCGGGTGGATAAACAAAAGGGGCTCCCGGTACCGGCGGAGCGGGGCTGGTCCGCACCGGGGCTCCGCCGCCGCTGGGTGGCGATCGCCGCCGGGGAAAACCCGCTTTTTGGGGGGAAAACCCCCTTTTTTAGTAATTCCCCTCCATGCAGCACTCCCGGCGGCTCCCTCCAGCCGGGTGGAGGGGAGCGCGGCCCGAGGAGGAGGAGGAGGGGGAAGAGGAGGGGGAGGAAGGCACAAGCCCCCCAGCTGGAGGGGTTCGCCGCTGGGGAGGTGCGGGGGGTCAGCCTGGCCCCGCTGCCGGTCAGGACCTCCAACATCCCGGTGCAGGGATGCGGATACACACATCAACACACCTCGGTGCGTTTCTTTTTTTTTTTTTTTTTTTTTTTCTCGTTTCAACCTTTTAAACATCTCTGTCGCCTTTCCCCCCGGTTCGGTGGGTGCTTCAAGAGGCCCGAATATTTCCACAGGGTCCCTTTGGCAATTGTTTATTTAAAACAAGTCGCTCTATTAGTGGAGCAGTCAGGAGTTAGTACTCCAGTCTGCTAGTAATCCCCACCAGGCTGTA